GGTTGGCGCTGGCGTCGAGGCGGCGCAGGTTGCAGGGCGCCGGCAGGAAGCCCAGCGCCGCGAGGCGGTTCCCTCTGAGCAGCAGCGTCTCGAGCGCGGCGAGCGCGCGCAGCTCGTCGCTCGAGGAGCCGATCTGGTTGAAGGAGAGGTCGAGCGTGTGCGTCTTGGGGTTGAGCGGCGGCGCGCGCGGCAGCGCATTCAGCTGGTTGCGAGACGCGTTGACGCTGACGATGTGCGCGCCCCAGGCGGCGGGCAGCGCCACGAAGCGGTTGCTGGACAGGTCGACGGCGGTGGTTGGGCCGCTGCAGCGGTCGCTGGCGGAGAGCGAGCTGCGGCCGCGGCTAGAGCAGTCGAGCGTGCGGTTGGTGCAGGAGCACGCCGTCCCCGAGTCGGGCGCTGGCGGCGGCGGCAGCTGGCCCGCCTTGGTGGACTGCGCTACGGCCGCCGTCACGCACCACGCGGCCACGCACGCCGCCAGCGCGCTCCCGCAGACACGCATCGCTTCTTTGTGTGTGAGGAGCCGCTGCGGCACGCACTTTTGTGACGGCCGGGGAGGTATACTCTCATTTAAACGAAGTGGCACTTCATGGTCATATGCGGAGGAGACGAGGTCGGGGTTGGAAGTCGCGCTGAAGCTCCGATTGGATGGCAGTGGCCCCTTCTCCATCGAGCTCGTGGCCTCGAGGCGCCACTGTGTTCCAAAGCGACTGCAAGAGGCGCGTGCGTGGCAGGATGGACGCGGTGGAAAGCCCGACCCACGCGACACAGCTGGGCGCCGGCGCCGGTTTTGCGGTTGAAAGCAGGTCAAGAAACCTCAGTTTTTCGGAGATCTGAGCGAGGTAGTGAAACACTACATTATGAAACGGGGATGAATATTAGTACCCGAGTATGATATTACGATACGACTGAGGAACGAGCGTGAGTATTATTACCCATTACATCCAAATTCACACAGTCCTTTTTGTTAGACGTTTACATTGAATCGTTTCGTGCTAGCTGAGAAGCAGGATTCACTCACGGCCATCTAGCGAACAGCTGCTCACCGCATCCTGCTATGCCCGCATTTTTCTTAACCACTGCGCTACTCAAACAGAATCAAAGTGAAATTACAATCCAATATATGTTAAATAATAGTTCATGTAAAAATGATTACGAATTAAAGAAATTAACTGACAAGCATAATACAATGACGAAATCAATTTTAACTGTCACAATCCAACGAAACATTTACTACAACGATTCTCAATGATTAACGGAGTGTCAGTACTTGGTATGTAATTAGTGACGAGTATAATGATACTCGTCACTAATGCTGCAACGGGTTACAAACATTACGTTACAGGATTATGCAACGGGTTACAAACATTGCACAATTTTACAATGGGAGTAGAAAAAGTAAATTAAATTTAACTTATAGGTTATTTCATTTTTCATTCGACTTCAACTTTAAAACAAAACTTTTTTGTTATATCGGTTTATTTTTCAGTGTATAAATGTTTATTATTAACATTCTAGGAGACATTCTTAAAACCTGTACCACAGTGTTTTCAAACTTTTTCGTCACTGTTTCTACGTAAAAATATTTTTAAAAGCATTGACCATAGGAAGTACTATTAATCAATGAAAAATAAGCTCTTCTGGCATTAAATGTGAAAGATTTCTCTGTATGCGGCAACGCCTTACAAAACGTGCGTTCTGTTGATTGGGACGTCCAGGGTTCCGATGCCGTTCGGTATTGTAAATTTGCGCCATACAGTTATAGTCCAGGCGGCAGGTACTGAAACATAAGGGTTACTTGACAAGATGCCATAAAGACTTTTGGGCTTCCTGTATATACCCAGGCACGAAATTAATCTCCAAGGTTTTGACCTTCCAGACCCTCTGCTAACTCTAGAAGTCCAGAAACAAATCTGACTTGTTTCGGTTTTTAAATTTCTCGTATACGTACATAAAATATAAGGGGTAATATATGTAAATGATGGGTTTCTTTCCAAAACCTCCGTCCGTCCGTCTGTCTGTTCTCTCTAAATAGCACTAACGCCTAAATTATACGTAGATTTTTTCCAAAATGGATATTCCCCAGTCGATCTGGCTCGACTTGAAGCTTTCATTTTGATCGATTTTGAAAATCATTTATTAGTTTTTGAGGGTAGATTACATGAGGCCCCGATGGCATTTTCAAAATTGTCGCAAAAATGACATCAAATTATTCTTTAAATTTTTTGTAAGAATAGTGTGAAATTCCGTTATTGAGGTTACATAGATCCGATTTTCAAACTTAACTCTCAATTTTCAAAAATTGAAAAATTTTGAAACTTTTTTGGTATATTCGTACTGTTACAAAATTGAAGGTACATTACTTAAGTTTCTTGGCAATTTATGACTGATTTTATTTTGGCTAAAACGCTTTTTCTGTGTAACTTAGCTTAACATCCAGTTTTCTGCGGAAATAGTTTTGAAATTCAGATTCCTGTTCAAATTCCTCTGCTCTGATGGACTTGGACTTTGTAGCTTCGCCTTTCCTGGCGATAAGGGAACTTTCGCGTTTCTACAGTTTTCAGTGGTTTTAGCAACTAATGTGCGGTTAAGATCATAGCCAACGATTCCATAACACCTTTTACTTTCTCGCTACGGAGTAGAGAGAAAGTTAAGTAATGTTGTGCGAAAAAACGGCGAATTTTCGGCTGAAAGACTCTTAGCACAGGGCCGTGTTAACGAAAGAGTGGGTAAAGTCAGTTGATAAATTAAGAAAATAAATTCTCTATTCCGTGGTGGAGCCATAATTCATGTTTTGTGGGTCCTTGATACCAAGAAATCAAAAGACGTCAAAATGCTCGCCTGTGAACAACACTAACGGCTAAACCGTTCAGCCCATTTTCACCAAAATCGATATTCCTCCATCGATCTGGCTGATGTCGCGGCTCCTGGAATATGAAACCGATTTTTTAATTTGAGGTTCTTTACATTAATCCCCTGGGACAGTTTCAAAATTTTCAGAAAATGGCTTCATCGTTTTTTATTAAATTTTGTAGTTGGATAGTGTAAAGGACGTTTTAGAGAATGGAAGTCTCATTATTGTCGAAAATTGCAAAAGTTCAAAAAATTTTCGGAGTCTTCTTACAATTAAAATATTGAAGGTAGATTTTCTTCCCTTAATAAAATCTGTTTCTTAGAGAAAGATTTTGAAATACTGTCATATTCAATTTTTCGAAAATTTGAGTACTTTCGCGTAATTTAGCGTGAAAATACGGGTGAGAATGTTCACGCGGTTAAAGCACCACAAGTTGTGTTCTCTGAAGAGTTTTGTTTTACGGAACTATTCTACCTTTCAATGTGATACACATTTGCAACTGTGCTAGAGTAAATCATTTAGGCCGATTTGGCGCCAATAACTCCGTGCCATCATTCGCCCCGCTTGTTCGTTTAGCTGATGTCAGAACGACATGCGTCGCCCCCAGCGTTTCTTCTGTGTCCGTTAATTTTTGCGTTGGCCGTGATGAAGCCCTCTTTCTTTTACCACTTGACGGGACCCCTGAAGGGAAGGCAGAGAAAGCTTCTTGAGGGCGACGGGTTTCTCTAAAGGTGTACAGTCGTCGCTCCCGCCGTGGTGACACTACAAGACAGATGATATACTTGGGTGAGATTCCTATTCGTACAAAATGTGAGGTTAGTGCTGGACAGAAATCTTGTGCACAGATAGCGACCGTAATGGTACTACAGAAAGATCATAAAGTGAGAAATTCTTAGTACTTCATCCTAGTTTGAACTGAAGGCTGTGCTGCATGTTGACGAAAAAAGGTGCGAAAAATTGAATTTCCAGAAAGAAAGATACTGAAATCGCGCTTCATGAGGACCGATAAATGAATACTGTCTTTATCTCAGTTAATAGTTCATTTCATTATTGACAAGATATCACGAAATTCTCCATACTATATTTATTACAATATATTACACATATACTCAAAAACTCAATAGTCTGACTAACAGTTTAGTGAATTACAAAAAGCGGATTTCGAAATACTTCTCCAACAAAAAGAGGGTAGTTGATCATTTAAAATATCATGGTGAAAGAGAAATAATTAAAATCTAGAGAAACTACTGGTATAATTGCTAACAGCTAACTTCAATATTCACTTTCCCCACTTATTAGGATACTTGAATTAAACTCAATGAAGCAGACTCAAATAATATTGACACTAAATTACCGAAAAGTTCGAGCACAATATGAAACTACTGGTGCTTTCTCAAATTATTTGTACCGGTTGCTGTACAACAATAATTGCTGTATATTATACGAACCTTCAAAATCGTTTTCAATCAGCAAAAATGTTTTCTCCGAGCAAAAATTCGAATTCAGCTCATTACTGGTGGCACTTTACCCTGCTCCACCGCTCGCAAAGTTGTTCTCAGCTTCCTCGACACTGAAACGCGTGGTTCATCGAGTTTTATCTAATTTATCCAATTTTCGAAAATTCAGAGAGATCAACCAAAATGAGACCTGCGCCATTTTTTAAACATCACTTTAAATAATTTTACTCTACCCGACAAAAAATTAAGAAAACATTTGAAGCAGTCTTTTAGAAAAACACTTTTTATAAATTGCATTTACTTCAAGCAGAATTATTTTTTTAAAAGAGGGGGAAGATGACCTACTCAAAGATCTAATTGTTCAGAACAGGATTCATTTAACAAAAAATCTCTATATTTAATATTGTACTTCTGTAAGGTTAATTGTTTGCAGTTTTCTAAGAAACAGAGAATTTGCGGAGGGTGGGTTCAGCATCACTGTTTGCTACAACGGAGAAAAAATTTAAGGCAATTTGAGCAGTTTGTGAGAAAATAATTCTTTAAAAATTGTTTATATTTCAAGTAACATTACCCCAAAACCATTCACATTTTCTAAAAATTGCGCATGTTATTATTTTAAGAATTATTTTAAGAATTTAAGAAAAACATCTCTATCTTCATTATTGTAGTTGGACGAGGAGGACGAAAAATGTAGTAGCCTGCATTTATTTTTAAAATATTATTTACGCTATCGGAGGATAGAATAAAAGCAACACGTTTGGAGCAATTTTTGAGAAAATTTTGAAAATGTTATGGCTTTATGGAATGTAGGCCTAAAAATCAAAACTTTGATGTATTCGATGGATCGATTGGAGAATATCAATATAAGACAATTATTTATACAGGATAATAATTAGGTAAAATATGTTTCCCTGTAATCAGAGTGAAGTTTTATTCATTTTTATCAATTATCGTTTACATTATTATACGAAAAATATTTACAACATTTTGCTCTTACCTGTAAACAGAGAAACGACAATTCAAGCCTACTATTACCGATTCTCTATTTACACCACTCACTTCAATTACAATATATCTTTCTTATAAATTTTCAATCTATACTCATGCGTATCTAAATTTCTTCCAACAATTGTACCACTCATTCCATCTCGCGGTCTTTAGTCGAACCACGCGCCAAGGGTGGGAAGCACGGCATGTTCATATTAAGGGGAAAAAATGTTCTTTACATTAGTTTGGAGAAAATCGCCTGTATGGTATAGACGTCAGCCTTGCCCACAGACCGACTGAGAGGCACACATAATGTCGCCAATCGAGTTTTCGTTGTCAAGAACCCACACAACTGGGGTTCTGACGGCACAACGTGGTAGATGAAGTAATTTGCTATATATGGGAAAATGTTTATCCTCTTTTTCTTTACCAGCGTATTTATAGAATGACGAATTAAAATTCGCTGGTTGTAAATGAAAAAACGTAATAAACCGACAAAGTA